AAAATAACTTAGACAATATAACTAAAGACGTTGATTTAAAGAGATACTTGTAGTAAAAAATTTAAACCTTTTTTTTCTTTCTAAATGACAGTAACGTATCGTAATAATAATAATAATAATAATAATAATAATAATAATAATAATAATAATAATAATAATAACATCTTGTTGACGTATTGTAAATGATCTTGTTAGCTAAAATATTTATTATAGTTGAGAGATTCTTCTATTTTTTATCAATTATTTATTACGCTTGTATTTTGAACACACACACACACACACACACACACACACATAGGCCTCCACTTGTAAACAAACCTATCATGGTATACACTCATACTCTCTTACAAACATACACATGATTTCTAGTATGTTAATTATTTTCTCTTTACTTCAGGTACGTCCAGCTGCTGCAGGTCTTAAGAAGGAAGGTGAGGTGTGTGTGTGTGTGTGTGTGTGTGTGTGTGTGTGTGTGTGTGTGTGTGTGTGTGTGTGTGTGTGTGTGTGTGTGTGTGTGTGTGTGTGTGTGTGTGTGTGTGTATTAAATAAATAACCAAGATGAGAAGTTAGGTGTTGAGAGAGAGAGAGAGAGAGAGAGAGAGAGAGAGAGAGAGAGACGCGACTTTCCCAGTAGGTTTATCAGTGGAATTGGGTTAAAAAATTGCACCCCCCCTCAAAAAAAAAAAAATGCTGCCTGATTCTTCTCAAGCGTCAAAGATCTAACGTAACCTAACGTAACCTAACCTACGCTAAACCTAACCAACTTCTCGGTATCGTGATTCAAAGCCTTTCATCACCACAACACTTAACAACAACAATAACATCACAAGGACTCAATAAAAAACTACAAATAATTCCCCCAAACAGTCAATAACAACTAAGGAATCACCACAAAACAATAACAACAACAAAACTCAATCACAATCTCTAAAACTAATCCAATCATTTTATATCTTTCGTAACCCATATCCAATCATTAAGCAATCCGTTTATAATATCCCTCTCCCCCACCTTCATTTCTCTCCCCTGAATAAAGTAGGTCAAGCCTCATCATCAGGGAACGGGTCAGGGTTATCAGTTGACCTTAAGGGAGGCGTTTCAGGATTTAGATGGGAAGGTGAATGATCATTGTTAATGTTTCTGTTTTTAACCAAATTTCCGTCAGTCACATTATAAGCCCTGCATATCGAAGTCTTATTTTCCCCTTAAGGTATAATTATACAGGCTCTAAACCTAACCTAACCTAACCTAAACCTAATCTACACCTCCCTTAACGTATGTACAAAAGCCCAAATTAAACCCAAGGACTCCCAAAGATTCAAAGGATCCCCCTCAAGGACTCCAAAGGACCTATAAGGATTCCCAAGATTCACCAAGGACACCCAAGGACCTATAAGGATTCCCAAGATCCCCCAAGGATACCCAAGGATTCCCAAGGACCCTTCAAAACCCCCAAGGATTCCCAAGGACCCTCAAGAACCCTCAAGTACTCCCAAGGATTCCCAGAGGCCCCGAAGGATCCCACGGACCTAAGAAGACGCCCCCCTCCCCCGGGCTCTAAGAATATATACGAAGTTTCTTATTCATCCGCCCAACCTTCATAACTTACGCTCAAGTGCCTACAGGGAAGGACGGGGGAGCGTTCGTCTGGCTTAGCTTTCATAATCGTATGTCACTGTGGAGTTGGGGAGAACGCCAGGCGATGTTGAATGCTGGTACTGGCTGAAATATGCTTATGGGATCTCAGGCAATGAAACAAATCATGCCAGTGGAATTTTTTGTTCATATTGTTTATGTTTTGATGGTGCGATTTTGTTCAGTGGCAAATGGTTCTTGTGGGATTTTATTCACTGGAAAATGGTCCAGGTGGGATTATGTCCAGTGAGGAGTGGTCAAACAGTATATCTCAAGTGGTGTTACGTTTACTGATAAACTACCTAAATATAGACACCGTTTGTACACTGAATGTTTCAGATCCTCGAGCAACATGACATAACATACCCCTTGCAGGTGATGGCTCAAGACCAGGCAGGTCCTCAGAGCAACGGTGTAGTGCTATGCTCTCGCTGGCGTCACCTTAAAGAGAATGAGTTGCTTTGGGGCTATGTAGAACCTCTTAGGAATATGAGGAAGAAGAGGACGAGGAGGAGGAGGAGGAGGAGGTCGAGGAGGAGGAAGGAGAAGAGGCGGCGAAAGAGCTGGCAGGCAGATGTCAGTCAACCATTTGTATTTTTCTTCTTCGACCCTGAACGGTACCGAGTCATAATTTTCCTATAGTCTCCGTGCATGGACATCATTTATCATCACGGAATTTACTGTCAAGATTTTTTTTCTTCAGAAGGTTGTAATACGAAACGTTGCGGCATTCTTGATAGTGGAGGTATTAGGTAACTTATCGAGTGGTATTGAATTGGAGAGTGGGAGGCTTGTGGCTAAAGTTCAGGTCAAGTGACAAGCCATTGGGTAGTGGACTGCGACGCTGGGAGGTGTCAACATCACCGTCTTCTCCTCCCATGTATACAAATTTTCCCACGTAAACTTCCCGCTTAAGAATCTCCCGCGTAAATTATCCACTTAAAATTTCCCCGTGTGTAATTGGCGCCTAAATTCTTTCCCGCGCAAACTCTTCCACAGGGGTTGGCTTGGACTCCCACGTCTGAATGTTCAAACTTGGCTTAGGTTTGGGAAGAATCTCAAAGAAGAGTCGTAAGAAATTCACACTGAATAACATCCCCCCCCCCTAAAAATCTTGCCTCTGACTGTGTCGGGAGAATAACATACAAGTGTTGGTGTGTATTGAAATATTATTAAATATACATGAAAGATTGGAACGTGAAATATGAGAAAAATGGAAAAAAAAAAACATAGAATATACTTATTAATATTTATACAGTGTCTCTATTAATGAGTAAATATAAAATGAGATCAAAGAGGAAGATATAAGTTTGTGAAGTAAGATAGAGTGGAGTGTAAGAGAGACAGTGAAGTGAGATACAGAGGCGTGAACACAACCTCATAACAACAAAGGAAGCTGTCACAGTGTTTACAAAGTGGTAGATGACTATGTTTGTCCAGGATGTTTACAAAGTGGCAGATGACTGTTTGTCCAGGATGTTTACAAAGTGGTAGATGACTATGTTTGTTCTGGATGTTTACAAAGTGGTAGATGACTATGTTTGTTCTGGATGTTTACAAAGTGGTAGATGACTATGTTTGTTCTAGATGTTTACAAAGTGGTAGATGACTATGTTTGTTCTGGATGTTTACAAAGTGGCAGATGACTATGTTTGTTCTAGATGTTTACAAAGTGGCAGATGACTATGTTTGTCCTGGATGTTTACAAAGTGGCAGATGACTATGTTTGCCCTGGATGTTTACAAAGTGGCAGATGACTATGTTTATCCTAGATATTTCCAAAATAGTAGAAGGGAACTGTCAATAGAGTCACTGAAATATCATCCCTACAATGGCACTCGATGTCTACGAAGTGCCAGATAAGTGCCACTAGGGAGAGAAAGACGCACTGCAGTAAGGATAGGAGCTACTGGCACCCCTTATAGACTGAGGATAGCACTCTCTTTCCTCACCCTTCATATAAACTTGGTACTAAGTAGAACGTGTGTTGGAATAAATTAACCAACTATAGTTTTGAGTACTTGTTCCATCTCTCTCTCTCTGCACCACCCCTCACCCGTCACCCCTCCCTCACCTGTCATCCCTCCCCTCACCTGTCACCCCTCCCCTCACCCTCCCCACCTGTCGCCCCCACCCACACCTCACCTGTCACCCAACTCCCCACCCACATCCTCCCCCACTCTGTCCCTCACCTGTCATCTTCCCCACTCCAGTCATCCTCCCTCACCCAGTCATCCTCCTGACCTGTCACTCCACCCTCACTCCACACCTCCCCTTCACCTAATTAGTCCTCACCTGTCATCCCACCTCACCCACGAATTCTCACCACCTCCTCGACCTGTCACCTCCCTCACATCTCCTCCCCTCACCTGTCACCCCTCCCCTGTCATCCATCCCTTTCTTTTCCTCTTACCCTTTTCTCATCTCCCCTCTCATTCCTTACTTACTAATTCCCCTTCCCCTTCTCTGTTGTTTCTAGCTCTCTCCTCCTCTTCTTTTCACCTTTCCTCACACTCCTTCACTCTCCTCACCTCTCACCCCTTCCTTCCCCCTCCCTCCCCTCCCACCCACCAACTGTTATCAGACATCCGGGAGAGGAGGCGGAGGACGGAGATAACACTACTAGGTCTTATCACCTGACACTACACCTCTCTCTTTCTCTCTATCTTTCTATCTTTCTCTCTCTCTCTCTTTGTCTCTTAATTTTTCTTTTTTCTTTAATTTCTTTCTCTTCCTCACTTTCACTCCCCCCCCTTTTCCTTCATTGTTTTTACCCTTTGTTTTTCTTTCTTTCTTTTTCTCTCTTACTTCCTCTCTATCTTTATCGTTCTCTTTCTCTCTCTTTCTCACACACACATGTACAGCTTAAAATACAACCCGCGAATAATATAACCTACCAAATACACAACCCGTTTATAATACAACCCACCATATAGTACAACCCGCCAAATAATACAACCCACCAAATATACCTCCCCGTTAATGATACAACCCACCAAATAGTACAATCCCCACTTAAAATAATACAACCCACCAAATACCTCCCCACTGAAATAACTTACCTCTCCGCTAAAAAGGTGTCACATTAAGGGCACAGAAACAAAAAGTAAACTCAAGTAAAGTAAAAAAAAAGTAAAAATAAATGCAAGTAAAAAAAAAACTTTCAATGCCAAAAGTTTCAGGAGTTTGAGTGAGTGTGAAGGCTGAGAATTTGTCACTTAGTTTATGAGAAGAAATGACAAGAATTCTGAGAGTTTAGCTGAGAAATATTTTGAGAGTTTGTAGATGTTTTGCGTTTGTCTTTTGCTGAGAGATTTTCTGAGACATTGTGAGAGATTAGTGCTTGGAGATAGTGGGAAACAGGAATGAAACAGGGAATGAAACAGAGAATGAAACAAGGAATGAAACAAGGAATGAAACAAGGAATGAAACAGGGAATGAAACAAGGAATGAAACAGGGAATGAAACAAGGAATGAAACAAGGAATGAAACAGGGAATGAAACAAGGAATGAAACAGGGAATGAAACAAGGAATGAAACAAGGAATGAAACAAGGAATGAAACAAGGAATGAAACAAGGAATGGAACAGGGAATGAAACAAGGAATGAAACAAGGAATGAAACAGGGAATGAAACAGGGAATGAAACAGGGAATGAAACAAGGAATGAAACAAGGAATGAAACAAGGAATGAAACAGGGAATGAAACAAGGAATGAAACAGGGAATGAAACAGGGAATGAAACAAGGAATGAAACAAGGAATGAAACAGGGAATGAAACAGGGAATGAAACAGGGTTTAAAACAGGGAATGAAACAGGGAAAATGAAAACAGAATGAAACAAGGAAGGAAAACAAGGAATGAAACAGGGAATGAAATAGGGACTGAAATAGGGAATGTAAATAAGGAATGAAATAAGGACTGAAACAAGGAATGAAGCAGGGAATGAAACAAGGAATGAAACAGGGAATGAAACAGGAATGAAACAAGGAATGAAACAAGGAATGAAACAGGGAATGAAACAGGGAATGAAACAAGGAATGAAACAAGGAATGAAACAAGGAATGAAACGAGGAATGAAACAAGGAATGAAACAGGGACTGAAACAGGGAATGAAACAAGGACTGAAACAAGGAATGAAGCAGGGAATGAAACAAGGAATGAAACAAGGAATGAAACAGGGAATGAAACAGGGAATGAAACAAGGAATGAAACAAGGAATGAAACAGGGAATGAAACAAGGAATGAAACAAGGAATGAAACAAGGAATGAAACAGGGAATGAAACAAGGAATGAAACAGGGACACGAAAACCAAAACTGAAACTTAATATTATAGCTACAATATGAAACTAAAACTTATTAAAACATACACAGTGAAACGTTGAAACTTGACACAGAAAGAAACTAAGTCTGTAAACGCGACAAATAAAACAACTAAAATTAAGATAAGCACTGAAACTGAAACCATAACTCATCCCATAATACAGCCACCATTACTGTGACAACGCCAGACGCTGATGATCGTTCGTGCCGGCGCTGACCACATAACTAAGACTTGTCCGAAATGAGATAACACAAGAGGTCTGTTATAGCTGCTTGCCCTGACGAGGCGAGACGAGACGAGGCGAGGCGAGGCGAGGCTAGGAGAGGAGAGGCGAGGCGAGGCGAGGCGAGGCGAGGCAAGACAGTACCACCATGCCAGGGGAACGTACTGTAATAAAGGTCATGAAGGCCAAGCTGACTGGGAGCCCTAAAATTGGTGGTCGATCATCTGCAACACCACCGTCCATAATCACCAGCACGAGTGACCACCCCGGGGGACCTGTTCCTGTTGGGTGAGTGTGTGTGTGTGTGTGAGTGTGTGTGTGTGTGTGTGTGTGTGTGTGTGTGTGTGTGTGTGTGTGTGTGTGTGTGTGTGTGTGTGTGTATGTGTGTGTGTATGTGTGTGTGTGTGTGTGTGTGTGTGTGTAAGGAGGAGGGTTCGTTGAGCTGTGTGTGAAGTCTTGATTTATGGGACCCAACTTGCATGATCCCCCTTCAATAGTTGTAATGTCTACCTGTTGTTTCCGTCTCTCTCACTAAACAGGTCAGTAGTGAAAGATACTGTTCTACTTCTGTCTCTTTCTCTCTCTCTCTCTCTTTTTCTGTCTATCTGTCTGTCTGTCTGTCTACATGGGTGACAACAAATCATCAGTGTTTGGCTGCTTAAGAATCACTCACTCAGTAGCGACTCTTGGTTGCCATGGAGAGGCTGCATCACTAAAAATCTTCCGGAGATGAAGTTTGGGAGGAGTTGACAGGAGGTATGTGGGAGAGGGGCGCTGAGAGGAGGTGGGGTGAGGGAGGGGCGCTGAGAAGAGGTGGGGGTGAGGAGGGGTGCTAAGAGGAGGTGGGGTGAGGTAGGGGTGCTGAGAGGAGGGGTGGAGGGAGGGTGCTGGAGAGGGAGGTGAGGGAGGGGTGCTGAGAGTGAGGTGGGGTGAGGGAGGGGTGCTGAGAGGAGGTGGGGCGAGGGGAGGGGCGCTGAGAGGATGGGGGTGAGGGGAGGGGTGCTGAGAGGGAGGTGGGGGTGGAGGAGAAGAGGGGCGCGAGGAGGTGGGTGAGGTAGGGGCATGAGAGGAGGTGGGGTGGAGGTAGGGGTGCTGAGAGGAGGTGGGTGAGGGAGGGGCTGAGAGGAGGTGGGGTGAGGAGGGGTGCTGAGAGGAGGTGGGGGTGAGGAAGAGGGGCGCTGAGAGCAGGGGTGAGGAGGGGTGCTGAGGGAGGTGGGGTGAGGGGAGGTGCATGAGAGGAGGTGGGGTGAGGTAGGGGTGCTGAGAGGAGGTGGGAAGAGGAGGGGTGCTGAGAGGAGGTGGGGGTGGGAGGTAGGGGTACTGAGAGGAGGTGGGTGAGGTAGGGGGTGCTGAGAGGAGGTGGGGTGAGGTAGGGTGCTGAGAGGAGGTGGGGTGAGGGGAAGAGGGGAGCTGAGAGGAGGTGGGGGTGAGGGGGAAGAGGGCGCTGAGAGGAGGTGGGGGGGTGAGGGGAGGGAATCAAGAGGAGGTGGGTGAGGGGAAGAGGGGCGCTGAGAGGAGGTGGGGTGGAGGGGAAGGAGGGGCGCTGAGGAAGAGGAGGTGGGGGTGAGAGGAAGAGGGCGCTGAGAGGAGGTGGGGTGAGGGAGGGGTGCTGAGAGGAGGTGGGGGTGGTTAGGGAGATGGAAGGGGGTGGAGGGGTGGAGAAGGGGAGCTGGGATGTTTGGTACGGTGAGTGGACTTGGAATGTGGAAGCTGTGAGAGATGGAAGGGTGATGGGACGGGTGGAAGGGGAGTCATGGGGTACTGGGAGAGCGATTGGGTCTGTGAGAGGGGTGGAAGTGCTTGGAAGAGGTGGAAGAGGGCTGTGGAAGGGGTGGATGTGTCAGGAGGAGGTGGAAGGGGAATATGGGAGGGGTGGAGGTGCTAGGAGGGGATGGAAGAGAACTGTGGGAAGGGTGGAGGACAATAGGATCCACCCACCAGGGATAACAAGTATGGATTTTCGACCGTGTAACTCTCAACTGGCCGGGGGAGGCAAGACCCTGCCATTGTGTCGAGAAGCTGTGTGTTGTGAAGACCTTCCCACTCTGTCTGCCTGTCTCTGAATGGGCGTCTGTGTCTGCCTGTCTCTCTCTGTCAACGTCTGTGTCTTCTCTCTCATTCATGTCTGTCTGTGCGCTATTTATCCTTTTTATCCCTCCTCCCTTCTTTTCTCCCTTCATCTCTATTCATGTCTGTCTGTGTGCCATTATCCTTTCATCCCTCTCTCTCTCTCTCTCTCTCTCTCGTTATTTATCCCTCCCTTCGTCATTCCATGTTTCTCTCTTTCCCCTTCCAACTTTTTCTCTCTCCCTTCTTCCATCTGTCTCTCTCTGTCTCCCTCTGTCCATCTCTCTCCCCTCCCCTCCAGCTTTTTCTCTCCCTCCTTCCAACTTTTTCTCTCCCTCCCTTCATCTATCTCTCTCTCTCCCTCTATCTATCTCCCCTCCTCCCCTCCCTCGTCTATCCCTCTACCTCGTCTTTTCACTGCCGTTCATGAGTGAAATACTGACTGTTTTTCACTGCCGTTAACGTGAGAGATACTGTTTTTCACTGCCGTTCATGAGAGAAATAATGGTTTTTCACTGTTGTACAAGTAAACAAATACTACTTTTCACTGCCGTTCACACAAAATTGCATTATAATAATCACTGTCGTTCTTCTACTAGGGAGTTCCGGAACTCCCATAGCCGTTCTTGTACGGAATAACTGAATCCTAAGAACGCCGGATTCCTCATACGACTTGGAGATGGACAGTACTGTCTGTCTGTCTGTCTGTCTGTCTAGTGACGGTCCTCGAGTCAATCTACTGAATCATAATTAACTATGTTCCTTCTCTCTGTTGTTGACTACTTTGAAGAACTTTTTTTTGTTCACTGTTCTTTTTTGTTCATTTCTGTTCTTGGAGTGAATATTTTTGTTCACTTATGTTCTTGAATACTATTTTTCACACCTTATATCACCCACTGAAACACACATCACCCACTGAAACACACATTACCCACTGAAACACACATCACCCACTGAAACACACATCACCCACTGAAACACATATCACCCACTGAAACACACATCACCCACTGAAACACACATCACCCACTGAAACACACATCACCCACTGAAACACACATCACCCACTGAAACACACATCACCCACTGAAACACACATCACCCACTGAAACACACATCACCACTGAAACACACATCACCCACTGAAACACACATCACCCACTGAAACACACATCACCACCCACTGAAACACACATCACCCACTGAAACACACATCACCCACTGAAACACACATCACCCACTGAAACACACATCACCCACTGAAACACACATCACCCACTGAAACACACATCACCCACTGAAACACATACATTTATTTACACTCGATCAGCTGTTTACTTCACCACCACACAGCTGATGGTTGGCCGAGGCTAACCTGACCCAACTGAATCATTGAAGCAACACCGAGCGAACTGTCCCGACCTACCGAGTGAACACGTCTTGTATGTATGTCTCGTTGTTTATGAGAGCGACACTTGTTGACGACAGTTGTTTGGGAGGACTTAATGTAAGGTATTGAAAGATATTGAGAATGGTGGTGGTAATGGTGGTGATGTTGGTAATGGTGGTGGTGGTGGTGATGGTGGTTGTGGTGATAGTTGTGGTGATGGTAGTGGTGATGGTAATGGTTCCATTCTTACCACTAACACCACCATCACCATCACTACTTTTACTATCATCACCACTATCAACACCATTACCACCCTCCGCCGCCTCCACCACCACCACTACCACTACCATCTTCACCATCATTGAGATTACAGTGACTGGAATAGTAAAAGAGAGAGAATCAAGGTGTGTGAAAGTATAGGTGTGAAAGGGAGTGTGTGTGTGTGTGTCAGGGTGTGTAAGAGTGAGAGGGAGTGTGTGAGAGTGAGAGAGTCAATACAAAGAGAGGGAAAAAGTACCCCCTCCCCACCCCACACACACACACCTCTGCCCTTTGCTAATGTGAGCCGCAGGTGTGGCAGTCACCTGGCTAAATGAGATGCTCCTCACCTGTCCCCTCTACCTGCCTGCCATTCCCCCTTCCCTTAGAGAGAGAACATGACCACCACCACCACTACCCATCACTACCACCATTACTACCACCACCAAAACTAAACCAATTACCACAATTAGATAACACACATCAACCAATAAGCATCATACATCATCAGTTATCTTACTTTAATTTACACCAATGAATAGAGAGGATTTTTCGTGACGTCACT